AAAATTTAAAAAATTAAAATTAAAAAAATTAAACAATTGGAGTTGAGGAGAGAAAAGTGAGATGAAGGATCCTATTAAGGCATAGATGGATCTTTATAGAATTAGATAAAGGTAAAAGAGGAAAACAAACAAGAAATAGAAGATGAAAGAAGAAAAGGCAGAAGGCCAGGGATTTAGCTCAGTGGTAGAGCACCTGCCTCTCAAGCTTAAGGACCTGAGTTCGATCCCTGGTACCAGGATGGGGAAAAAAAAGAAGAAAAGGGGAAAAAAAAAATAATGTGGAGCCAGGTGTGGTAGCACACATCTTTAATCCTAGCACTTGGAAAGCTAAGGCAGAAGGATCACTGAAAATTCGAGACCAGCCTTGGCTACATAGTGAGTTCAAGGCCACCCTGAACTACATAATGAGACCCTATCTCAAAAAAAAAAGAAAAGTGATGTATAAAATATAGAAAAATCAGAAGAAGAGATTAAAAGGAGAAAAGAGAAAAAAAATAAGAGAAAGGAAACCTTCCTAAACAACAGCAAACTAGTAAAGAAGAAAAAAGGAGAGGAAAGAAAAGAAAAGGAAAAGGAAAATGAATGCAAAAATTAAAAAAAATCTTTATAATTTTGAATTGAGTATTTTTCTTCCAAGATCCATGTTTTGGAGTCTAATAAGTCTCAGTTTTCTCCACATAGCCTTACAGCCTATGTAAGGCCTACAGGGTGTGAGGTGCACCCGCTTCCCCCATTTCAGAGACCCCTCTGTTTACTTCAGGCTGTGGTTGATGTCCAAGCCAAGAATTGTCTTTGTTCACTTGGTAGACAGGGAGGGCAAACAGACTTCAAATTAGTGCTGGATATAGACGGCAGGGCAAGGGTTCAAGTACTCAATGCTGCCAGCATTTTCAGACCCTGCCTTGTCTGAGAGCAGCTCAAGCTCAAGGCCTGGTTTCTCATCACAGTGGGTAGGGAACATGTCCTTCCAGCCTGAGCTTAAATCTCTCAAGGGATGTCTTTCTAGCCTTCTCCCTGTCCACAGCTGTCTCCTGTAGCTGCCTCTCACTCAGTCACTGTGGGAGGGTAACACTTGGATCCCTGGAGCGAAGTTTTTTTGTTTGTTTGATTTTTGGGTTTTTTAAAAGCTGTTCTTAGGTCTAGATTTAAATAATTAACTCCTTTCCAAAATGGTACTTGATGAAGAACTCTCTGGGCACCTGTGCTGGAATCCCTCTCTGTCTGTCATGTGGAAGGAGTCCCCTTAGAGCAAAGCACTGTGCCGCTTTTGCATTTCACAACAGCGTTAGGCTCCTGTCTCAGCCCGGCCCAGTCTGCACCACTTCTCCCTGAATCTCCCAGCTCTGGGAACTTACCTTGCTTCTCTGGTGCCCGGCTTCCCTCTCTTCAAGCTGTGGGCTGAGGAGAGAATCCAGATTGCTCTATTTTTTTTTTTTTCTGCCTTGTAGACCATCTCTCTAACTTCTCTGGTGGCTTCTAATTTTTTTGCCAGTTTCTTCCCAATTCCTGGTGATCTACTTCTCTCTCTCTCTCTCACTTCTCTCTCTCTCTCTCTCTTCTCTCTCTCTCTCTCTCTCTCTCTCTCTCTCTCTCTCTCTCTCTCTCTCTCAGCGCTT